AAAAAAAAAAAAAAAAGAAGAAGGAGAAAAAGAGGTTTTCGAGTGTTTCGTTCGCGTTTCTGTTTCGCCTCTGAACCATGTTACATTGCCTACAAGAAGCCTCCTCTTTCGAATCCATCGCGTTATACAACGTTCCTGGAATCTAGAGACCAAGATTCACGAAATATAGCTGATATCGTCTTTTTACGACGAACAGGGAAGGGGGAGCAAGACGTGTACCAGATGCATCCTTGCAATAAAGGTATAAACTCTTTCGTAGAGTTCCGTGGAGGGTGAACTCGGCGAGATTCGAAGCAGAAGAGAGGAGGAATACCGCGAAAGGGAAATGGATGGATCCTCCGAGCTGTACGAAGGTTCAATTAAAGCCGGTAAAAACGGGGAAAGAAGAAGAACCTGGTAACCTTCCTGGAAGTAACTAGCGACCCGCAGCTTTACAACCAGTGCGTTGGCTTCGTTTTTAAAGCGCACGACCGCCAATTGTATTCGTGTTTTGCCACTGTAGACACTTTTGGGCGTGCTCTCGCGTATATAATAAATGAGGATGAGATTTTATGAGATTTTTATCGCTATCGAAGTGTGAAACTTTACAGCAAAGAAATTGTTTTGAAATTAGAATTTGGATATTGATCATCATTGTGCACGATTTATTTTATATTGTTTCAATAAACTTATATCAAAATTTCCTTTCATGTCAACAAATCTTTATTAACAATCAAAAATTCATTTACAATAAAATATATTGATATGATATAATTTACATGGATAAGACATTTTTAGATTGATTGAAATATCACGCGAAATAATAAATCCAACGATGATATATTATTTAATTAATAACTGTTCCTAATTGTAATCAAACCAAAGCGAAACGAAAATTAATAAATTTATCACGTATTCAATTCTATAAACCGAAAAAAGAATCGAATAAATAACATATATATATATATAAAACAAACTCTATCTGTCGCGTCGCTAATTAATGTAACACACTTATTTTACCAAATACCCAATCAAGTACGGCCGTCCAACCGTGACTCGACTGGCATCGAGCGCGTTAAGGATGTTACCGTTAATGAAACGATTCCAATTTTCCCGAAGACAGGAATGCGATACAAGCACGGTTCGAGTACAGTTGGATCGCGTCCACGTTACACGCAAATCGGGTGTTGTTAGCCGCAAAACAAACTATCAGCTACTTTCACGGGAAACATCTCAGGTAGGACATAGAACGTTATATATGCGTTGCTCTGAGCAAAGTTTACACATACTTGGACGTGCAAAGGGGAGACAGGGGACAGGCGGTTTCCATGCTGTTCTCATCGTTTTTCACTGCCACTTCGTTAGTGTACACGGACACGGGGCACGGGAGTGTTTCCGCGAAGCGGAATTCCGC